AAGGCAACCACTAAAACTGCTATAGTAGTTTTCTAGCTTTAATAGAATTTCAAAATAGGTTTAAAATCTGAATTTCAAAACTTGGAAGTGTTAGGCAACATTTAGACATGAGTAGGTGGTGGCAGGAGGCGAAGTGGGATTTCCTCTAAATCTAGAGGAGGGGGAATCTTATCATTCTACAGAGAAATAGGTTTTAGCTAGCTGCCAGCAAAGGTGCACAGCTCTGACCTATTAGGCCTTAAGCAACAGGTGACAATGTAGATGCAGGTATGATCTGCACAATCCTGGAAAAGTTCCACCCAATTTTTAAAAAGGAAGACATTAAGAAAGGGGGGAAGGGGTGGATCAGAGTTATGAGGCTCAATCACAAAAAGGGCTCTTCCCTCATGGATGCTCCTTTCACTCCACAGAGTGCCTAATACTTTCACTTTCAATAATGAAGGTTTGATTTGCCATCTGAATTCTTGTTCAATCACAAAAAGGGCTCTTCCCTCATGGATGCTCCTTTCACTCCACAGAGTGCCCAATACTTTCACTTTCAATAATGAAGGTTTGATTTGCCATCTGAATTCTTGTAATTCTTCCTTGGGAAGAACTAAGAACAAAATGGGTTCCGGCAACAGAAGGAAGTGGGCATGATGGTTGTACTTTGTGAAACTAGTATTACTGAGCATTCGGGGGGGGGGGGGGGGGAGCGGGGGAAAGTTATGACTATACCAAACACTCTCAGTACAGTCTCCAGACTTTTATAAAAGTGCATAAAAACTGCTGATACTGGTCAGAAAAAAAGCTCTGAGATTACTTTTCATTTAAATAAGTTGAACAGGGGCTGGAGAGATAGCACAGCGGGTAGGGCGTTTGCCTTGCACGCGGCTGACCCAGGCTCGATTCCCAGCATCCCAAATGGTCCCCTGAGCACCGCCAGGAGTAACTCCTGAGTGCAGAGCCAGGAGTGACCCCTGTGCATTGCCAGGTGTGACCCAAAAAAGTAAATAAAATAAAAAAATAAATAAGTTGAACAGTAAAACTATAATATCTTCTAGCATTAACTATGCTTAGATCAGTGGTTTTTTTTTTTTCTTAACCTTTATCCCACTGTGGCCTCCTTCACATCTTTTTTTATTTCTATGGCCCCTTGTGCAATGGTTAGTCCTCTAGCCTCATGCTGTGGGCACCCCATTTGTATGATACTCACCTGTGGCCCCCTGGAATATCTTGGGAGCTGACAGAGTCATATGGCCCCCACCTGAGAACTGCTGCTTTAGGTTATGGGCTGAAGAGATGGCTAACAGTTTAGAGTGCACGCTTTGAACACAGGATGTCTGAGTCCAATCCCCAGCACCCACAGTTCTCCAAGCATCCCTGGGAGTGACCCCCTACCCAGTACCAAGCCACAAGCAGTCCTTGTATACTCCCCAAAAGTGTCCCAATAAACTTTAGGATAAGGCAATACGGTAAAGCTGAAAATCTGTGTAAATCATCCCATAACTACAGAAATAAACTGAACCCCTACACCGAAAACTTCTAAAACTAATACTTAATACTATAAACTTACGCAGTTACAGATGGGTTATGCAAATATCTTATTTACCAAAATATTTTTATTAACATATTAGAAAAGTCTTCAAAATTATCACTGAATCAATGAACTTCCAATAAATTAGGGCCACTGTTTTGTTCCTTATGTCTAATACAAGTCAGCAAAATTTGACACTTATCCTTTTTTCTGGTGGTGAGGGGATGCCCTCTAAAATGGTCTGACACCGACTCAATGGTTTTCAGCTAACCGGGTAGTCAGTTCAGCACAAGGGCCTAAGGATGTGATGCTATTTGAGCCCTATAGTGTCAGGTATATGTAGGTGACCCTTGTAGTGCTCTGGGCATGCAAGGCTGCACCCAGGATACTTGAGGGACTATGGGAAATAGAAGCTGGGTTGGGTGCATGCTAGTCAGGGATCCTAACCACTGTCCTATCATCCAGCTCTTAACTGGATGTCTTCCATTAGATCTAACCAAAAAATATTAAAAGTCGCAGATTCTTTTCAGTGCATCTTTTCAGTGCATTATATCAAAAATGATATAAATTTTTTTTCAGTGCATTATATCAAAAATGATATAAATTTCAGACATACTTGCCATTTTTAGGGGCTAGAATGATAGTATAGTGGTAGGGTATTTGCCTTCCATGCAGTTATCCCAGGTTCAATGCTACATGGTCCCTCAAGCTGTCAGGAGTGACCCCTGAGTACAGAGCTATGAGTAAATCTGAACACCACCAAATGTGGGCCTTTCCCCACCCCAATGCCCACCAAAAAGGTAAAGGTAAGGTAAAGGCCCTCCTGTTGATCGTCGATTTGCTCGAGCGGGCCCAGTAACGTCTCCATTGGAGACTTTGTTGTTACTGTGTCTGGCATATCGAATACTCTCGGTAGCTTGCCGGGCTCTCCGAGAGGGGCGGAGGAATCGAACTCGGGTCGGCCATGTTGGCCGCTTGTAAGGCGAACGCCCTACAGCTATGCTATCGAAAAGAAGAAAAAAAAATCTTGTTTAGTTATAGAAAATGAATCTACAAGTGATTCCTTTATATTGGTCAGAAAAAGGACAAGAACTCTCAATGGGGAGGTATAAAAGGGCTACTATATGTAAATAATTACCATATTTGGGGGAAAAAAAAATCTTGTAACTAAAAACCAAAACTACACAACCATGAAGTAGCTTCCAAACAGTAAAACACTCTCATCACAAATAACAAAACTGTACAAACTTAAAAATGAAAAAACCTTTTATAAAGACTTGCTTATATAGAGTTTTTAAAAATAAAGTACATTTTAAGAAAAAGTTACATTTGTCCCTGAACATAATATTCATAATTAGCTTTCAAAACAAACTCAAAGTAAGAATTAGACTTTAAGCTTCCAAGCTGATCTGCTTGTAGTATGTCTTTCACCTCTGGCAGGTATTCACTGAGCTGTATGCCTACAATAAAACACAAAAAGTTATCATTTAATTTTTCATAAATTTCAAATAAATTAAATTACTCATGACTTAAAAAACACCTGTATTTCAGTTAAAAATACAGCTCTCTGCTACTGCAAAACACTCTGCTCTAAATTCCTTCCATCTGTCCAACACACTTGCAAGTAAAAATATGACATTATTTTCTTGTTTGATTTTCCCCCTAGTGGTCAAAATAGCCAAGATACTTTAAAATAGCATCTAAAGCATTTTCATTTTTCTCCACAACTAAAGTCCTTCCTGCAATGTGGAAGCTTTTAAGCTAACCAATCACCTGCAAACAAGTTTTTTAAAAAATAATTATATATTTGCTTATTTGGAAGATATTTTAGTAGAAGGAGTGTCATGAAAGATATCTCAAAATGTTACAATAATTTAAACCGACAATTAGAGAGGTGAAAGAATTCTTTCTTGGGCTGAAGAGACAAGAAACAGCTTGCATGCAGAGACCCCAAGTTTGACCCTTGGCATGGCCCCAAGTACAACCAACTGTAGCCTATGAAATATGTGACACTCTTTGTCTGTACCTTTAGAATAATCCTTAGAAAACATTTACTATTGTACACAGAAGATTCCTAAAATACATCTTGGTTGGTGTTATAATACATATTTATATTTATTTTTAGTCACAGTAGCATCTTGTGACTTTCCATTCCTATTTTCCATCTATGATTTATAATCTAAGAATAGTAAAAATACTGAATTAATGTTAATTAGTATTTAATTAGCTACAATTCAGTTCCATAAGCATTTTGGGGAGGATGGTCCATGGGGGTGGAACCCAGGGTTCTCACCTATGACAGCTACAGTTCTTTGTTCCACCATCCCGACACTTTTGTAATAACTATTTTTTGTTTGTTTGTTGTTTTGTTTTTGTGTTTTGGCTACAACTGGCAATGCTCAGGGGTTACTCCTGGCTGTGTACTCAGGAATTACTCCTGGTGGTGCTCGGGGAACCATACGGGATGTCGGCGATTGATTATGGGTCAGCCCCATAAAAGCCAAGTCCTTACCTGCTGTTGTATTGCTCAGGCCCCTAGAAGATGTAATTTCATGGAAAGCATCTGCACTCAAACAGGATGCTTTCTAATAACCTACGAGGCTCAAATAGAGTCTTGCTCTAATAGTTCAAACCTGAGTGATTTTTTTTCTTGCAAGTTTATTTATCGCCCTCCCCATTTTAAAGCATTTATTAATTTTTTTTCATTGAATCACTGACAGATAGAGTGAAAAAGTTGTTCAAGTTCGAGTTTCAGTCATAAATGTTTCAACAACCATCTCTCCAGCAGTGTACAGTGTACCTTTCCCACTACCAGTGTTCTCAGTTTCCCTCCATGCTTCCCCCAGCCTGTCTCTATGGCAGGCACTTCTTTCTCTCTCTCCCTTGAGTGATTTCTAATATCAGTAAAATACTTACCATCTTTTAAAAGTTTCTCTAAGATTTTCACAAATATACTGTCTTTAGATACTTCAATCGGATCATCTTTGCCATCTGAACTGGACCAGCTAGAAAACAAAGTCACTGTCAGAAGACAATAAAGTCATGGCTGTAAAGAAATGAATGAGTTGTTTGCTGCTATGGTTTTGTTTTGATGGTCCTGGTAGGAGAATCTTGAATTCTGTGATGTTGTTTCAAATTACTATTTTGGGGCCACATCATGTGGTGCTGGGGACTGGATCAGGGTCTCTAGCACACACAACCTGCCTTCTAGTCCTAAAGAACTAAAGTTTAAAAAAACTTAAAAGTTTATTTCCCTGATCCCATATTTCAAGTTATTTATATTAAATGTTGGATGTACTTAATTTCTGTATTACAGATAAGATGCTTATATCAGATAATCACGTATATGATGTGAAGAACCAGTGAGGTTATCATTCCCAAGAAAATTATATAAAGAAATCTAGAAAAGTCTCCAAAGTATATTCTTCAGAGTAGAAGTTACAGCAACAAAATGTCACTACAACATACTGCTTTTCTTTTTCTTTTGAATATAAAACGTTTCATGAATTCGCATGCCATCCTTGTGGAGGGGGCCCAGGTAATGTTCTATGTATCATTCCAATTTTAGTGTTTGTGCTACCAAAGTGAGCACAACTACTACTTTTCATGAAAGTAAAATGGAAACAAAAATTCTATCTAAATGAGATGATCTAGTGCTGAAATACAAATAGAATCATAGCTTTGCAGTAAACATATATATGTCCTATATGACAACTTAAAAGTGTGTTTTGTTTTTTCATTCAGCTATTTTTGGTGGTGCCAGTGAAGAAACCCAGGGCATCCTTACACTTGCAGGGCACATGCTGTACAATGAGCCTTATTATCTACCTGATACTTAAAAGTTTTTAAAAAGGAGCCAGGACTAGGAATTTCAGTGAAACAACAGTATGCTTTTTCATGATGAAGTAAAATTGAAGACTGAGACCAAATTTAACTACGTTAAAGAAAGAAATACTTCAGTTAGTCTACTGTTATTCTTCAACAATATAGGAAAAGGGAGAATAGCACAATTCAGTACTATTTAATAATAGTATATAGGACAGTGTTTTAGCACCCAAGTCATGCTTGCTGTAAAATTCTTTTCCTGCAACTCATCTCCCACACCACAACTGATTTTCTTTTGAAAACTCAGTCTTTGCTACTGATTCTTAACATTATCATTTCTTTGGATTGAGATTCTCCTCTGCGGAAGGAGAAGACAGTGAAAATAGTCTCAATGTAGAAGAGGGCTCTGATTCTCAAACTAAAATAACTATTTTAGGGGCCAGGGGGGTGGAGGAAAGTTGCACTGCACCTAGTGGTGCTCCAACCACATGTGGTGCTGGGATTCAAACCCAGGTCAACGGGTTTGAAGGTTAGAACAAGGCAACTGCTCTAACCCTGGCACTACCTCTCCAGCCCTATAGTACATTTGAAATTAAAATGTAGCCTCTTCACCAAAACTGGCCTGACTTTGTGAAAATAGGAGAAAATTGTTATTTCCACATACCTGATACCTAATTAGTATTTCTCAACCCTTTCCCAACATGGCGCCCTTCTGATCTTATTTCCTTCTTGTGGTCGGATGATTTAAGTGATTTTCACCGATGGCCCCCTTGGAATATCTTGGAACCACAAGGTCCTCAAGTGAACACTGGGAGATGTTGGTCTGAATTTTAAAATTTAAAGTATAGATTCCCCTCTAGGTGTTTCTAAATCTTTAAACTATTCTCTCATTACTGAATGAAAAACTAAGATTACTAATACAATCATTAACATTTTGATATTATCATTCAAGTAGATGAAAAAAAATTCATGATGTTCTATATAATCTACCTTAAAAATTCTTTTCCACAATCATATCTTTCATTCGTGCTATGAAAACTTACTTATCTCTCTGAAGAGCTTTGCAAAGAATTTCCAGTTTTAGATCATTTATATTTACATCTTCCTCCTTTGGAGCAAAATAAACAAAATCCTCATTAGTCCTGATTTTTAAAAATAGCATGCTGGGGTTTTTTTGTTCCAACTTATAACTCTGCATATTTGTTTATATTTTGGGCCACAATTGGCCGTGCAGGGTGACTATGTGGTACCTGGGAACAAATCAAAGTTGGCTTCAGGCAAGGCAAGCATCAAAATCCCAGACTGTCTCTCTGTCCCAATTACACACATTTTTAATATATAAGTTTAATTTGATCATTCCCTCTTGGGTCAGAGACACAGTACAGCAGGTAGCACACTTGTCTTGTATGTACCACATACAGTACCACAGTCAGGACTGAACCCTGGAAACTACCAAGTGTGGCCTCCCCAAAACAAACAAAAAAAAACATTAAAAAAACCCATCCTTGTCTTTGGGGACCTACGGCCCAATCCTGTTTTTTGTTTGTTTGTTTTAGGTTTTGGGATCACACCCAGTGGTGCTCAGGGGTTATTCCTGGGTCTGAACTCAGCAGTCATCTTGGTGGGTTTGGGGGACCATACGGGGGTCCAGGGTAGCTGCATGCAAGGTACTCTAGCCCCCACAATCATGTTAATCAGTTAATGAGGCTGATTGTTCAGTGCCAGGAACCAATGATAAACTGCTCCTCTGGCCCTGCAGTGCAGGGGGCCGACCAGGGCCATCCCAGTGATGCTCAGGTATTTCCAGAGTCATATCTGGCAATGCTTGGGATACTGTATGGTACTGGGGTGTGCCCATGTACATGCACCCAAACTTCACCCTTTTAAAAACACTAGTACTCAGAAATCAGTAATTTTGGAATTTGCAATCATTCTACAATAATATGATTTTAATCTCTTTTAATAGGAACTCTAAGAGAGCTAAAATTATATATTTAAATTGAAGTAGCACTGGATCCAGAGCAGTAGGTGGGGCACTTAACTTGCACGCAGCTGACCCAGACTTGATCCCTGGTTCCCCATGTGACCCCCTTAGCCTTTCCAGGAGTGATCCCTGAGCACAGAGCCAGGAGTAAGCCCTGAGCGTGACCAGGTGTGACCCAAAAACAGGGGCTAGGGATATCAGTCCATAAGTTAGAACACATGCCTTGCATGCTGCAGGCCCAGGTTTAGTCTTTCTCCCCTCCCCCCCCAGGTTTAGTCTTTAGCACTACATGATTCCCTGAGCACTGCTGGCAAAACCCCCAGATGTGGCTCAAACTTACACCTCCAAAATAAAAAAAAAAAAACCTCATAAAATAACAGTTAAAGGGCCAAAGGGAGAGTACAGCAGGTAGTACACCTCCAAAAAAAAAAAAAAAAAACACCTCATAAAATATCAGTTTAAGGGCCAAAGTGATAGTCCAGAAGGTAGGGTGCTTGCCTTGCATGTGGATGACCCAAGTTTGATCCCCAGTATTACATCTGGTCTCCTGAGGTGAACAGGAGTGATTCCTAAAGGTATAGCCAGGAGTAACTCCTAAGCAGCACTAGGAGTGGCCCAGAAACAAAAACAAATTATCAGCTAAAGAACTAATAACAGAACTAATAGCTAATACAGAACAGAGAAATATATACTTTGTTGGAGGGTTTGGCTCAAACCCAGGACCGCAGAGATGTGAACCACATATTCTACCACTGACTGAGCTACCATCCCCGCTCAAAATACAACATTCTTTGTATATGAAATGAAAGAACTATCAGGAAATGGAATCTCGAGTTTTTCTAAAGAGCTCTACATATTCCATGAGTTAGTAGTAACTGAACCAAAACCCTTTTAAGTTAAAACATGTGTTCTGCTCAACTGAAAATTATATGTAAATTAGAATAGTTGCTATGATCAAGTATTCTACTTACCTCATCAATATATTCCAGTAAATCCAAAGCTTTCTTGAAATCATACTCATTAGCTCTTCTGTTTTCTTCACAGATATATAGCTATGGCAATTAAAAATTAAAAAGTAATGGATTACTTTAAGTAATAAAATTACTAAGACTAGAGAATTTTTTTTTTTGGGGGGGGGGGAAACACTCCGGTGATGCTCAGGAGTTATCCTTGGTTCTGCATTCAGGAATTGCTTCTTTCCATGCTCAGGAACAATACGGGATACCAATAATCGAACCCAAGGTCAGCTACGTATGTGTAAGGCAAATACCTTACCCATTGTACTTCCACTCTGGCCCAAAACTAGAGAAATGTCTAAAAAATATAAGTCAATGTATCTTTCAAGTAAGTGGTAGTTATTTTTATAGTAGAGAACAGAGTTATATTTATAAATTACCCTTTATCTTCCTCATAATAAATTATCTTTTAAAATAAACCTATGTTTAGGACTGAAGAGAAAAGAGCTAAGTCATGTGGCTGCTTCTGCAACAACCCTGGTTTGATTCACGGTAAATCTTAACATCCCCTGGGTAGGCACAGAACCAGGAATAGCCCTTGAGCACCACCAGTAAGAACTCATAACCTCTTTGGGCCTCCCTCCCAAAATCACCAACAAAATGTTCTATGATAAATCATAATTATTTTGCGTAATATATTCTATAAGACTCCTTTATGGGGCCAGTGCAATAGTACTGTGTTTGCCTTGCACGTGGCCAACCCGGGTTCAATTTCCAGCATCCCACATGGTCCCCCAAGCACTGCCAGGAGTGATTCCTGAGTGCAGAATCAGGAGTAACCACTGAGCATGAGCGTCGCTGGGCATGGCCCAAAAAGCAAAATAAAAAAAAAATTCTTTTATGTGGGAGGGATGCCCCAGAGATTGAAGTGAGGTCTTCACACATGAAAGGATACAACTGAGCCACACCTCTTAGCCCTATACAAATTTTTTAGATGTATTTGTATTTTAGATTCAAGATGGTACACTCATTTCTTTTTTGAGTGTTTTTTTGAGGTTATTCTATTATTCTTACACTTTTAAAACAAAACAATAATTTTGAAATGTTTAAATTTTATGTTTGTTTTTGGTAATACCTGGTGATACCAGGGATCACTCCTGGCAGGGTTGGGGGACCACATGGAGTGCTCGGGATCAAATCTTGGTCGGCTTGTGTAAGACAAGTACCCTACCCACTTTTCAACATTGCTCCACCCCAAAATGTTTAAATATTTTTGAACATTTGGTCCATTAAAATGTTTTTAAATGTTGCCCTTTCAAATTGTCTTGAAGAGTGATAAAGCACATAATTAATCTAGTTTCCTTAAAAAGAAAATTTACTCCACTGTGTTATAAATGGTTGTTATTGGTTATTATATAGGTAATTACATTTCTGTTGTCTTCAAACTTTCTGTAATTCTGTAGCTCTGTAGCACTGTCCTCCCGTTCATCGATTTGCTCGAGCGGATGTCTCCATTGTGAGACTTGTTACTGTTTTTAGCATATCGAATACGCCACAGGGAGCTTGCCAGGCTCTGCTGTGCAGGCGGTATACTCTCAGTAGCTAGCCAGGCTCTCCAAGAGGGACGGAGGAATGAAACCCAGGTCGACCGTGTGCAAGGCAAATGCCCTACCCACTGTGCTATTGCTCTAGCCCTCTGTAATTCTATAGTCAGAAAAATACTTATTAAAAATATTAATTTAAATAAATCTTTCTGATATTCTTTCCCCCATAACTTTATGTAAGAAATTCCATTTATATTATATATATAATTTAACAGCAAAGGCA